TCCAAGTTGTGGTCGTTTTAGTACTTTGGCCTCAAAAATTGCTTTTATCTTATAGTTACTACTTTTTGTATTTCAGAAATATGATATTGTTTGACCTGTATGTATCTTTTAAATTTACATAAAATTGTGCTGTGGATCTCATTCCGTTTTCTCCTTTTGTTAGATAAGAAATTTTTAGGAAGTTGACTTGTCTCTAAGAGTCCTCTTATGGGTTCAGAGTTCCCCCTTACCATAGACATGTCCTTGCATATTGACAGTCTATCACTCTACTGTCATCTGTGCAGAATTCCTATTGATCTTTTTTTTTTTTTTTTTTTTTTTTTTTTTAAAGATAGAGTTTGGCTCTGTTGCCCAGACTGGAGTGCAATGGTGTGATCTTGGCTCACTGTATCCTTGACCTCCCAGACTCAGGCAGTTCTCCTACCTCAGCCTCCTGGGAGCTGGGACTACAGTTGTGTGCTACTATACCTGGCTTATTTTTATTTTTTGATTTTTTTCCGAGACAGAGTCTTGCTCTGTCACCCAGCTTGAAGTGCAGTGTTCTGATCTCAGCTGACTGCAACCTCTGCCTTTCAGGTTCAAGCAATTCTCCTGCCTCAGCCTCCCGAGTAGCTGGGATTACAGACACCTACCACCAAACCCAGCTATTTTTTATATTTTTAGCAGAGACAGGGTTTTGCATTGTTGGCCAGGCTGGTCTCGAGCTCCTGACCTCAGGTGATCCACCTGCCTCAGCTTCCCAAAGCGCTGGGATTACAGGTGTGAGCCACCATTCCTGGCTCAGTTTTTAAATTTTTTATAGTGATGAAGTCTCATGATAACTGCCCAGGCTGGTCTTGAATTCCTGGCCTCAGGCAGTCCTCCTGTCTTGGGCTTCTCAAAGTGCTGAGATTATAGGAATGAGCTACCGTGCCTAGCCTGTGTTCATCCAGTTTAAATGCTTATCTCATTTGCAGTCCAAAAACTTGCCTGACTCTGGAGTTTTGTTTTATATTCTGTCCTCTCGTAGCATCCTTTGTGAGTAAAGATGTATACAGTCATTCAGCAAACCTTTTTGAGAGCCACTTATATGTAGGCACTGTTCTGGAGTCACTGTTCAGAGAACAAAACAGGCAAAAATTCCTTGTTTTCCTAAAACTGAACATTTTAGCAGGGAGACTTAGATACATTAATATAACCAATAAGTAAATTATACAATGTTTGGTGATCATAAGAGCTATGGAGATAAATCAGGAAAGGATTCAGTGGGGAATGTGAGAGTGTTATCAGGAAAAGATGTACTTTAAAATGGAATAGTCAGAGAATGGTAAACTGAGAAGGTAACATTTGGTGAAATGTCATGGGGTGATGGTAGTAACGAAGTGGTGTTGAATGAGAAGTGGTTAGATTCTGGATATATTTTTGGACTCAATGCCAATAGAATTTCTGAGTGGATTGGAATTGTATGTGAGAGCAAGGAGCCTTAAAGGATTCCATGGTTTTTGGCCTCAACACTTGAAAAGACAGAATTGCCATTAACTGACATGGGGAATTCTGAGAAAGAAACAAATTTGGCAGGGAGGATGGTTAGTAGTTTTGTATTTCAGTCCAAATGGCATTATTGGTGATTTCTAATCACTAATCGCTAATTTCTAAACCCAGTACAGTGCCTTGCATGTGGTATTCACTCAAATTACTAGGGATTTCTTTTCCCCCAGTAAACATTTAAAATAATTAAACAGGCTGGGCGTGGTGGCTCATGCTTGTAATCCCAGCATTTCGGGAGGCCGGGGCAGGTGGATTGCTTGAGCTCAGGAGTTCGAGACCAGGCTGGGCAACACGGCGACACCTTGTCTCAATAAAAATAATAATTAAACAATATCTGACAGCCATTGGAAAACTCTCCTAAATTAGCAACATTTTTGAGCTTGAAAAGATCTCCCCTGGGTCATTCAAGCTATCGGGGTGTAGTCAAAGAAACTGAGTTAGCATGATTAATATCCAGGCAGGGGGCAGGTTTCATAGAGGTTTAATGCTGTGTACTTAAAACACCCCAGCTGTTTTCAGAAATGTAAGAAATCTTAAGTTGCACTGTGGATTCCCTCACTGTCCATCCTGAGAGCTTGGGCTGTTACAGATACAGTAGGTACTGAGATGGCAGGAGCTGGCACCACCAGGCACCAGAGGAGTTTGTGGAGGTGTCAGTGTAATTAATTGTCCTTCTTAAACTTGGTGTTGATGTAAGGCACCCAGTCCAGAATCGGCCTACAGTCAGTTACCTACACCGGCCCCACAGTGCCCACAGCTCTCCTTATGCCCACCGTGAGAATCCAGTTCTTGGCCAGCTCCTGGTAGTGTGAGCCCAGGAAGCTGCTCAATATTGCATCACCGTCCTCACCCTCAGGTGATCAAATTACTGTTTTGTAAACTTTAAAATTAATTAATTTTCTAAAATGATGACAGGCTTTTACATATTGGCCAGGTTGGTCTCAAACTCCCAACCTCAGGTGATCTGCCCGCCTCGGCCTCCCACAGTGCTGGGATTACAGGTGTGAGCCACTGCGACTGGCCAACTTTTAAATTTAATATACTGAGTTTCACAAAGTAAGGTATAAATACATGACATTTGCTGGTTTTGTCCTGATAGGGGTTAAGAGTTGGCTTCAGTGTCTGCTTATTGCTATTTCTAACTTGGTCATTGATAGTACCAAAGTTCTTTTTAAAACTGTTGAGTTTTTGTTCCTCTTATAATTTCAAGCAAGGGGAACTTTTCCTGTACTGCAAAGAATGAAATAAACTGTTTGATAATCATTAAACAGAGTATTACCAGTGTCACTGGCAATATATATATATAGACGTATATACATAGATACACATATATGAAAGTGCGGATTATGTAGTGTTTGGTAATGGATGCTAACAAATATGGATAGTTTCTGTACTTTTTGGTATTGTTTTCATTTTAATGAAGGATTGGCATTTGTAGCTTAGTGGAAATCATGCTAGAGTAGATAATTTTTTCATTAGAATAAAGACACATATGGTATATGCAACCAGTTTTGTTTTTTTGTTGTTTTTTTCTTTTTTTCTTTTTTTTTTATATGCAACCAATTTGAAGAATGCTTTTTACAGTAAGGATTTTTGTTAATTTGGTCATCCCAAATTGTCTGTCTTGGTATAGAATACAGCTGTTCCCATTCACTATAATTTTGCATTTAAATAAGGAACCACCTATCTACTTTAACTTTTCAGGATGTCAGAACATTTAAGTTTATCATAATATTAATGGAAAACAAAATTGAATTAGCTGGAATTTTAAATATATATTAGAAGAAGGGAATATGAAACTCTGAAACTGGAGAATTACAGAGCCAACCTGTGTGTATATTATGTAGACAATTAAGAAGGCTCCCTCACCCCCCCACAGGCAGGGTCTCACCCTGTTGCCCAAGCTGGAATGCAGTGGTGCAATCTTGGCTCACTGCAACCTCCGTCTCCCAGGCTCAAGTGATTCTTCTGCCTCAGCCTCCTGAATAGCTGGGATTATAGGCATGCACCACCATGCCTGGCTAATTTTTGTATTTTTAATAGAGACGGAGTTTCACTATGTTGGCCAGGCTGGTCTCCAACTCCTGACCTCAGGTAATCCACATGCCTCACTCTCCCAAAGTGCTGGGATCACAGGCATGAGCCACCGCCCCCGGTGGAAGCCAATTTTTAAACATTGTTAAACGTGATTTTAAGATTAAGAGCCTGGGTGTGCTGGCTCATGACTGTAATCCCAGCACTTTGGGAGGCTGAGGTGGTCAGATCACAAAGTCAAGAGATCGAGATCATCCTGGCCAGCATGGTGAGACCCCGTCTCTACTAAAAACACAAAAATTAGCCAGGCATGGTGGCAGGTGCCTGTAGTCCCACCTACTCGGGAGGCTGAAACAGGGGAATTGCTTGAACCCGGGAGGTGGAGGATTGCGGTGAGCCGAGATTGCGCACTGCACTCCAGCCTCATGGCAGAGTAAGGCTCCACCCTCCCCCCCCAAAAAAAGATAGATAAATCTTTTTTTCCTGTCACTTATGTTTGTGTAATTTGGTCATTTGTTTAGCTAACAGTTACTAAACACATAGTATGTAACTCTGGGTAGGAAAAGAATACCATTCCAGATACAAGGAGCATGTTGTGAAGTTTCAGAAACAAACATATATAGAATGGTAGAATGTATTATGAATATAGAGATGAAGGTAGAGTATTAATGCAGCAACTGTGATGCTTTTGAGAGCACAGAGGGGAGGTGCAGTAGCCCCCATTATCCAGTTTTGCTTTATGCAGTTTCAGTTACCTGCACTCTTCCTGGGTCTGAAAGTAGTAAGATATTTTGAGGGAAAAAGATACCACGTTCACATAAATGTTATTTCAGTATAGTGTTGTAACTTTTTTTTATTGTTGTTAATCTCTTACTGAGCCTAATTTATAAATTAAACCATACCATGGTTATGCATGTATAGGAAAAACATAGTATATAGTGGGTTTGGTACTGTCATGATTTTAAGCATCTACTGGAGGTCTTGGAACAGATTCCTCATGGATAAGGGGGACTACTATGAGTATTACAAGTAGAAATCAGCCAGTCAGAAGAAAAATGAGGGCTGGGCACAGTGGCTCTCACCTGTAATTCCAGCAGTTGGGAGGCCAAGGCGGGTAGATCACGAAGTCAAGAGTTGAAGACCAGCCTAGCCAGCATGGTGAAACCCTGTCTTACTGAAAAAAAGAAATGAAAAGAGGGGTGAGAACCCATTCCAGTTAGTCTGGACTGTGTGAACCAAGGGCAGAGGTGGGAAGCAGCATGGTGTATGTTAAAGTTTACAGTCTGAGGTATGGAGTGGGGAGAGGCGAAGCTGGAGAAGTAGGTAGAGACCTGATCATGAAAGGCCTTTGAAGGCCTTGTTAAGGAGACTTTAGCTTGATGTTAAACTATTGAAGAAGCTTAAGAAAAGTGACGTGGTCAAATTTTTGTTTTAAATAGATCACTTTGCCAGCTGTGTGGAGGATGGATTTGAGGGAGACAAGACTGGAGGCAGTAGTCCAGGTGAGAGACGTTGAGATGTTGGGGATTTGAACTAAGGCATTGGCAGTGGAGTTGGAGAACAGGGAATGGATTTGAAAATAACTAGAACCACAAATTCAAGATTTTTTTTTTCTTTCATATATGATAAAACCATTTTTATATTAAAAATAAGTCAGCTGGGCACAATGCCTCACACCTGTAATCCCAGCACTTTGGGAGGCCAAGGCGGGTGGATCACCTGAGATCAGGAGTTCGAGACCAGCCTGGCCAATGGTGAAACCCCATCTCTACTAAAAATACAAAAAAATTAGCTGGGCATGGTGGCAGGCACCTGTAATCCCAGTTACTTGGGCGGCTGAGGCAGGAGAATTGTTGAACTTGGGAGGCAGAGGTTTCAGTGAGCTGAGATTACGCCATTGCGCTGTAGCCTGAGCAAGAAGAGCAAAACTCCATCTCAAAAAAAAAAAGTGGAGGAAGGAGACTTAAAAATGTAGTCATGTGACATAGATAGTCGGATAGTTTGCCTTTGTAGACAGGCACTAAAAACAGTCTGATCAAGAAAATTGATACTGGAAGAACAGTGTGTTTTTTGTATAATAGAGCTGGGCTGTGAGAAGCAGGTGATCTTTAAGATGGTATAGGGATCACCTGTAGTGTGTACTGTGAATCAATTTAGAAGCTGTAAAGCCTTGAGGAAAAAAACAGGTCTTAAGAGGCTTGGACAACATTGAGTAGAAACTCAACAAATGCCCAATGATAGTAATATTTTCTAGGCTCTTCAATTAAATTAGTGATATTTATAAAAATTTACTGCCCAGGAAGACAAAATAGAGTTTTAAAAAGTCATTCAGGTCGAATGGGGTGGCTCTCACTCCTGTAATCCTCAGCACTGTGGGAGGCAGACAGATCACCTGAGGCCAGGAGTTCAAGACCAGCCTGGCCAACATAATGAAACCCTATCTCTACAAAAAATAAAAAAATTAGCCGGGCATGATGGCAGGTGCCTATGATCACAGCTACTCAAGAGGCTGAGGCAGAAGAATCGCTTCAACCCTGGAGGCAGAGGTTGCAGTGAGCCGAGATCTCACCATTACATTCCGGCCTGGGCGATGGAGTAAGACTCCGCCTCAAAAAAAAAAAGTCATTCAAGTAAGGAACAATTGCAAGCTATTACTGAATTGTGCATCTTAACTTAAAGGTATTTTGGAATGCTGAGACATGTTTCTTTCGTTTTGCAGATCATTTTAGGACTGGTTTTCTAAAAGCACTTTTAAAATACTTATTTCTATACTTTTTTTTTCTTTTTTTTTTTTTTTTGAGACGGAGTTTCGCTCTTGTTGCCCAGGCTGGAGTGCAGTGGCGTGATCTCGGTTCACTGCAACCTCCGCCTCCTGGGTTCAGGCAATTCTCTTGCCTCAGCCTCCTGAGTAGCTGGGGTTACAGGCACGTGCCACCATGCCCAGCTAATTTTTTTGTATTTTTAGTAGAGACGGGGTTTCACCATGTTGACCAGGATGGTCTTGATCTCTTGACCTCGTGATCCACCCGCCTCGGCCTCCCAAAGTGCTGGGATTACAGGCTTGAGCCACTGCACCCGGCCTTATTTCTATACTTAGAGGGCCTGGTTTTATACATTATTACCTAACTCTGAAAAATAATCCCTGTTGTCTTTTCTACAGTTTGTTTTCTGTGGAGAGAGAAAGGGAATAAGGGTGGTTTGGGTGGACTTGGAAGAAACTTATAATCATTTCTTCCTTAAAACTACAACCACCACTATAACAAAATACCCTATATGTTTTATAAAGCTAGTAACGATTTCTCTTTGAGATTCTTTTTTCCATTTTGAGAAAACTGTATTTCCTATTAGTTTACGTCTGATTTTGGTGAGTGCATATAAATCACAGCCAAACTCTGATTTTGTGGGTTTTTTTTCTCTGACTACCTTATTTTCAACAAGTAAATTGCTTCCTTATGCTCAGGAGACACAGTGCCTATTTGCTTATTCTTCGTAACACCATACACTGTACAGTTCTTTCCTACTCTGGAGCCAGCAGCTGAAATACTGTGTATGTGCCGAATTCAAACAAATGTTTCACTGTTGAACTCACCGTGATTTCCCTTTCCTTTTTATGTCTTTCAGAAGCTTTGCATCGTCCCTACGGTTGTGATGTTGAACCCCAGGCACTAAATGAGGCTATCAGGTGGAGCTCCAAGGAGAACTTGCTAGGAGCCACTGAGAGTGACCCCAATCTTTTCGTTGCACTTTATGATTTTGTAGCAAGTGGTGATAACACACTCAGCATCACTAAAGGTGAGGCTTCTATGTAACATACTCTCACTTTTAAGCTTTCATTAATAATTAAGAGATAGGCTGGGCGCGGTGGCTCAAGCCTGTAATCCCAGCACTTTGGGAGGCCAAGGCGGGTAGATCACGAGGTCAAGAGATCGAGACCATCCTGGTCAACATGGTGAAACCCCGTCTCTACTAAAAATACAAAAAATTAGCTGGGCATGGTGGCACGTGCCTGTAATCTCAGCTACTCAGGAGGCTGAGGCAGGAGAATTGCCTGAACCCAGGAGGCGGAGGTTGCGGTGAGCCGAGATCGCGCCATTGCACTCCAGCCTGGGTAACAAGAGCGAAACTCCGTCTCAAAAAAAAAAAAAAAATACTGAAATACATTTTTTTCCCCAATAGTGGTTTTTATACGTTCAAAAGGCAAGAATAAGGTTAGGCAGACTAGCAGTCCAGTTCATGTACACAAGGAGAATGTCTCCATAATCTTTTTTCTTTCTCAAAAAGTTATTCTTTTTGCCCTTGTGCGTGCGCGTACGCATACACACACAGACACACAATATCAATAATGGTTGCTTTATTTGGTCATGTTCTTAATACTCCCTTTTATAAGAATTTACCATGGAAATAAACTACTCTTCTCCTGAGAATATTACTATAACAGAAGTCAAAAAAAAAGAAACCATTCCTACCATTCCTTTCACTGATCTATATAAACACAAACAGACATGTATGTTGTCTAGGCCAGTGCTATTCAAAAATGGTCCAAAGCAAGGTAAGACGCTTACGCCAGAATGTGAAACCCTGGGCTACTATGTTCATGCAGAAAGTTTTGCCTCAAAAGGTAGAACTATTAGCTGAACTAAATAATAAATAGTGTACTTAGTGATGTAGTTGGTTTACATTTGGGTGCAAGTTATTAATCTCACTGTGGACTAATAATGAATGGACAGTCCTCAGATAGGCAGGTCCATAGATAACATTCTGAGTAGCGCTGAGGTCTGGTAACATGGCTCATCTTAGCCACAGTTCAATTGGAATAGGTGTGGCCAGGCACGGTGGCTCACACCTATAATCCTAGCACTTTGGGAGGCCGAGGCAGGTGGATTGGCTGAGCTCAGGTGTTCGAGACCAGCCTGGGCAACACGGTAAAACCCCATTTCTACTAAAATAAAAAAGAAATTAGCCAGGCATGGCGGTGTGCTCTTATAGTCCCAGCTACTCGGGAGGCTGAGGCAGGAGCATTGCTTGAACCCGGGAGGTGGAGGTTGCAGTGAGCCGAGATCATGCCACTGCACTCCAGCCTGGTGACAGAGTGAGACTCCATCTTAAAAGAAAAAATCTTACAAACCACAAATATAGTGGATACACTATGGGATGATTAAATTATTTGTCTATACTGTCTAAAGTAGCATACCTATGAGAAAAAATCCTTTTAAGACTTAAAGACAGTTAAAAAAATTTTTTTTAGCACACTGGGATAAATATCATTTGATGTAATTTATCATATATATTATTATTGGTCTTCTGGGCAAAAGAGTGAGATACCGTCTCTTAAAAAAAAAAAAAAAAAAGAGGAATAGGTGTAGAGTGAGTCTAACCTTCGTGATAGTTGCATGTGCTGGCAAATTGTATATAGGACAGAAATAAAAGGAAAAGTGCATCATCAGTGTCAGTCTTACAGCTTTTGGATAGTTTTGGGGACAGGATGATGCTACATGTTATGTGTGGGGGTTATGATTATGTAGTTGAAAGGAAAGTTTACACAAAGTTTGAGGATAGAGCAAAAGATGTCAAAGAAAAAAAAAATTTTTTTTTTTGAACTGGTGTCTTTCTCTGACACCCAGGCTGGAATGCAGTGGCATGATCCCAGCATGCAACCTCCACCTCCTGGGTTCAAGTGGTTCCCCTGCCTCACCCTCCTGAGTAGCTGGGATTACAGGTGTGCGCCACCATGCCTGGAGGATTTTCGTATTTTTAGTAGAGACAGGGTTTCACCATGTTGGTCAGGCTGGTTTCAAACTCCCAACCTCGTGATCTGCCTGCCAAAGTGCCAGGATTACAGGCATGTGCCACTCCACTGGGCCAGAAATTTTATGCTGTGTACTAGTCACTTTTAACTACAATATACTTGACTTTACCTTTACTGATTATTCAAACTTGTAGAAGTGATGACTCAGAAATTCTTTTCCTAGGTACATTTTTCTGTTATTTTTCAAGATAGCCCAGTCATCAAGGAAACACTGGTAAAGTCTGTTGATTCTTTAGTTCTCAGTTACAGCAACCACCTGTGTGCAACTCAAAGACTGGCCTTTATCTTATGGCCAACAGTGGTTTCTCTTAAAATCCACAAAATGCCAAATTTTTGTATCAGGTTCTCACTATATAAAATGATGTCATGCTAAAGCTATTTTATTATTTTAAAAGACAAGAAAATATATTTTAAAAATAAAGCAACACTTTAATTTTTTATTGAAAATGCTGTTTTGCTTGAATTTTTTTTTTTTTAAGTTCTACCAGCCAAGTGCAGTGGCTCATGCCTGTAATCTCAGCAGTTTGGGAGGTTAAGGCAGGAGGATTGCTTCAGCCCAGGAGTGCAAAACGAAAGCAATGTAGTGAGACCCCTTTCTCTACAAAAAAATTTTAAAATTAGCCAGGTGCAGTGGCATGCACCTGTAGTCCAAGGTACTTGGGGAGCTGAGGTCTGAGGATCACTTGAGCCTCAGAGGTTGAGGTTGCAGTGAGCTGTATTCACGCCACTGCACTGCCGCCTGGTGATAGAGGGAGACCTGTCTCAAAACAAACAAAAAAGTTCTCCCTAGGATTCCTCTGCCAGTTTGGCCAGTGTTTGAATCCTAACTAGTCATCCCCCTGTCATTTTCCATGGTAGTCAAAACTTCCAGGGTAGAAAAATTTTCCTGGTAACAGATAAAAAGAACAACAAACAAAAAATCCTGGGGTCTTTGGCTGTATCCTAATTATGATAGCCTGTCGTTACCATTTCTGAGGAAGCAACAATATATTTTAAAAAGTATTTATGTGTGTGTGTGTGTGTGTGTGTGTGTGTGTATGTATATGTATACATACGTGTGTGTGTGTATAAAGTGTTTATATTCTTTCTCATTCATGTGGACTAATAAAAGCTACAGAGCAACAGGTCTTCTTCAGTTTTTCTACAGGTTTTTCAATAGGTTTTCAGTATCCTTTGTTTTACTTCCTATAAATATGATTGGCAAGTATTTATACACTTGTATCCACCACTACACCAAACACACTCCTATCTGTATATATGTATATTTTATGTACCCGTAGGTATGTATATATACATATACTCATGTTTTTTGTATCTCATATCCATGTGTCTAAGGTGAGATGGTGTCTAGTAGAAAGCTATTCTGTGGAAACATTTCCGAAGGCCACTAAAAAAGGACAGATGGTTACAAGAGTAATTATTTTGAGTTTTCCTAAAAACCTTTGCCGGATTCTGCTGACCATGTGCTTTTGATTGATGTGGCTTCCTTCTGCTTTCTGGCACTGAAGAAGTAGATGTGAACGCCATAGGAAGCCTTACACATCTCTTAGAGATAAGAGCCTGAGGCACTGCAGGGAATCTTTAGATTAACATTTATTTATCACTAGTGATACTTCTTTGACTTTCTCTGTTTTGCCAAAGAACCCAATTGTGCTGCAAGTATGAGGGCAAGTTATGTGTTGAAGTCTGAACTTAATGTTCACAATTTTAATAGAAAAACCCAGAACATTGAAGTTGACAGCAAAGATACACTGAGTGACTTGGATTTTGGTTTCCAGCTTCAGAGTGAGCTTGCCATTCCACACACTGATTTTAGTGTGATTCATTTTTTGTGGATAATAGGAAGGAAATAAGAAAACTAGAGCTGTTTTTAAACTTGAGTTCTGGAAGGGATTGTATTTTGGGAGTCCTGACTGCCCATTCCCTCACCCCACTAAGCAGTTTTCTTGCTGAAAACTCTGTAATTCATGTTTTGTTGTTTGTTTGTTCATTTTTTAGTTTTTTTTTAACGTCAGTGGTTTTGTTGCCTTGGTGCCAAGTGAAATTTAGAAGTCACTTTGTATATCACATATCTTATCCCTAATCCTTGATTGTTGTTAACATTGGTCATATATAAGATAAATTCCTTGATAAACTGTTTTGAGGGAAAGTGCATTTTCTTTTTTTTTTTTTCTTTTTGAGATGGAGTTTCGCTCTTGTTACCTAGGCTGGAGTGCAATGGCGTGATCTCGGCTCACCGCAACTTTCGCCTCCTGGGTTCAGGCAATTCTCCTGCCTCAGCCTCCTGAGTAGCTGGAATTACAGGCACGCGCCACCATGCCCAGCTAATTTTTTGTATTTTTAGTAGAGACGGGGTTTCACCATGTTGACCAGGATGGTCTCGATCTCTTGACCTCGTGATCCACCCGCCTCGGCCTCCCAAAGTGCTGGGATTACAGGCTTGAGCCACCGCTCCCGGCCAAATTTTCTTCTTTTGAAGAGTGAGCACTGTGTCCTTTTCCAGCCATTTAAGTAACCTGTCTACCATACATAGAGTTTCTTAAGAATATTTTTTAAGTTGTGTTTAAACTTTTTTTTTTTTTTGGAGACAGTTTCGCTCTTGTTACCCAGGCTGGAGCGCAATGGTGCGATCTTGGCTCACCGCAACTTCTGCCTCCTGGGTTCAGGCAGTTCTCCTGCCTCAGCCTCCTGAGTAGCTAGGATTACAGGCACGTGCCACCATGCCCAGCTAATTTTTGTATTTTTAGTAGAGATGGGGTTTCACCTTGTTGACCAGGATGGTCTCGATCTCTTGACCTCGTGATCCACCCGCCTCCGCCTCCCAAAGTGCTGGGATTACAGGCGTGAGCCACTGCGCCCGGCTGTATTTAAACTTTTAAAACCCTGTAGTAAATTCCAGAAAACCAGTTCTGACCTTGCTTCTGTGGTTAAGCTAAAAGCTAAAGAGAGCAATCAAGATATGATGAACAGCCAAGTTTGTTTTCACTATTTAAAAAAATTTCTGGCATAAAAGTTCTGGATTCATTTTTTTTTTTTTTTTTTTTTTTGAGACGGAGTTTCGCTCTTGTTGCCCAGGCTGGAGTGCAATGGCGCGATCTCAGCTCACCGCAGCCTCCGCCTCCTGGGTTCAGGCAATTCTCCTGCCTCAGCCTCCTGAGTAGCTGGGATTACAGGCACACGCCACCATGCCCAGCTAATTTTTTTAGTATTTTTAGTAGAGACGGGGTTTCACCATGTTGACCAGGATGGTCTCGATCTCTTGACCTCGTGATCCACCCGCCTCGGCCTCCCAAAGTGCTGGGATTACAGGCTTGAGCCACCGCGCCCGGCAAAATTTACCATTTTAATCTTTTTTTTTTTTTTTTTTTTGAGACGGAGTTTCGCTCTTGTTACCCAGGCTGGAGTGCAATGGTGCAGTCTCGGCGCACCGCAACCTCCGCCTCCTGGGTTCAGGCAATTCTCCTGCCTCAGCCTCCTGAGTAACTGGGATTACAGGCACATGCCACCATGCCCAGCTAACTTTTTGTATTTTTAGTAGAGACGGGGTTTCACCTTGTTGACCAGGATGGTCTCGATCTCTTGACCTCGTGATCCACCCGCCTTGGCCTCCCAAAGTGCTGGGATTACAGGCTTGAGCCACTGCGTCTGGCCTTGGATTCATTTTTTAATCAGTTTGATGATATACCTCGTCAGTTGAAATAAAGGCTTAACATCATTTCTTTTATCCTGTGATGACCTTATGGCTAGGTGAAAAGCTACGAGTACTTGGTTACAACCAGAATGGCGAGTGGAGTGAAGTTCGTTCTAAGAATGGGCAGGGCTGGGTGCCAAGCAACTACATCACCCCAGTGAACAGCCTGGAAAAACACTCCTGGTACCATGGACCTGTGTCACGCAGTGCAGCTGAGTATCTGCTCAGCAGTCTAATCAATGGCAGCTTCCTGGTGCGAGAAAGTGAGAGTAGCCCTGGGCAGCTGTCCATCTCGCTCAGGTACGAGGGACGTGTGTATCACTACAGGATCAATACCACTGCAGATGGCAAGGTAAGACTCGCTGGTTACCACCTCTAAGCGTGGACTGACTCCTCTGTGAAATATTCAACGTGATTGAAGTGAAATACAGGTTTTATGTCTGACGTGAAATAAAATATTCACTAGCTTCGTGAGTTTCGGCTTTTTGGCATATTCGAGCTTGCTGTCTTCAAAAGGATATGGTAATGGAAATTTAAACAGTATTTTAAAAATAAGCTAGATTTGAAGGTGTAGAGTGAAGGGAACTGCTGTATAAGTTAACTGTTCTAATAATCAGTGCACAAATACACACCCAATGCACTGATAAGGAATTTATCAATTATCATTGTATCATTGAAAATTAGAATGATATCTACCAGAAAGTTCACAGAGTAAGAATTTAGACTTGTGAGCCTGGTGTCGATCATTAATGTATGTTAACTTAAACACATAATTCAGTCATTGAACAGTTTGTATATTGGGAAGACCAACCATGTTAGAATGCATGTGTTACAATGCGTTTATATGTTATAAACTACCGAGCATGAGCTTATGTCCATTGTTTTTCTGTTAAGCAGTAAATTTAGGTTGAATTATTTCATTCTCCTCTATGTGATAGGCAACCTGGGGAAAGCACAGGCTTTAGAGCAGACAGATCTGATTGTGACCTTACATAAGCCTCAATTTCCCTGTCTGTAACTAAATCCCACTTTGAAGGATTAAATGAAGTAATTCCTGTAAAACATAATGACTAATTACAAAGTAGGAAATAAGTAAATCTTTAGTTTTCTTTTGCTTTTGTATCACCATATATAGTATGTTTTCTCTTGACCAAACAGAACAGAATCTGGTGTGTAATGATGTCAGAGTGACTCAGCAGTTCTAGTTATTTACCTGATAGAAATGAGTGCATATGTGTGCCAAAAGACATGTACAGGAATGTTCATAGCAGCATTGCTTGTGATAGCCAAAAACCTAGAAACACCCAAGGATCTAACAACAGTAGAATGGATTAATAAATTTTGGTATATTCATAAAATGCAATTTCAGCAACAGAAATGAACACAGTACTACTACACACACCACCATCAGGAAAACTATGGCCCTCCAACTGTCTGCTGTTTTGTAAATAGTATTTTATTGGAATACAGCCACACTCATTTGTTCATGTATTGTCTATGGTTTCTATTACTAGGCAGAGGTGAGTAGTTGTAACAGACATACTATGGCCACAGCCTAAAATATTTATTATGTGGCCTTTACCAAGAGTTTGCTGGCCCCTACTGTAGATGAGTCTCAGTTGACTCAACAACTTCAACAAAGTTGAAGGATTAATATTAGCCAGGGGATGAAGATGTGGGGAGTGGAAATACCATTTTGATGATATACCTCGTCAGTTGAAATAATAGGTGTGAGGTGATGAGAATGTTCTATAGTTAGATAGTGGTGATAGTTGAACAACTTTGAGAATAAGCTAAAAAAACTCTAAGTCGTATACTTTAAAATGATGAATTTTATTGCAATTTTTTATAAGTTGGGTGGAAGAAAGCAGACAATACAAATCGTGTGATTCTATTTGTATATATATATAGTTCAGAAGCAGAGGCTGGGCACAGTGACTCATGCCTGTAATCCCAGCACTTTGGGAGGCTGAGGTGGGCAGATCACTGGAGGTCAGGAGTTCAAGACCAGCCTGGCCAACATGGTGAAACCCCATCTCTACTAAAAATACAAAAGTTAGCCAGGCATGGTGGCATGCGCCTGTAATCCCAGTTACTCAGGTGGCTGAGGCAGGAGAATTGATTGAATCTAGGAGGCGGAGGTTGCAGTGAACCAAGATCGTGCCACTGCACTCCAGCCTGGGCAACAACAGAGTAAGACTCTGTCTCAGAAAAAAATAAATTAATTAAAAAAGCAGACACTAATCTAAGATGTTAGAAGTCAGCGTAGTAGCTATCTTTACAAGGGTTAATAGCTGGGAGAGCATAATGGAGGTTTCTGGGGCGCTGATCATGTTATAATTCTTGGTGTGGGTGATGTTTATATGGGTGAGTTTACTCTGTAAAAATGATCAGTTCTCTGTTTATGAATTGTATACTTCCATGTATACACTAAAACAATAGTTTCTTTAAAAAAAAAACAAGAGGCTAGTCATGGTGGCTCATGCCGGCACTTTGGGAGGCCAAGGTAGGTAGATCACTTGAGCCCAGGAGTTCAAGACCAACCTGAGCAACATAGTGAAATCTCATCTGTCCAAAAAAATTTAAAAATCAGCCGGGCGTGGTGGCATACATCTGTGGTCCTAGCTGCTCAGCTGAGGCAGGAGGATCACCTGAACCTGGGAGGTCAAGGCTGCAGTGAGCCATGATTGTGTCACTGCACTCCAGGCTGGGCAACTGAATGAGATTATTTCTCAAAAATAAATTAAAAAAAAAAAAAAAAAAGCAGGCCTGGCACAGTGGCTCACGCCCGTAATCCCAGCACTTTGGGATGCCGAGGCGGGCGGATCACGAGGTCAAGAGATCAAGACCATCCTGGCCAACATGGTGAAACACTGTCTCTACTAAAAATACAAAAAATTAGCCAGGCATCGTGGCACATGCCTGTGGTCCCAGCTACTTGGGAGGCTGAGGCGGAAGAATCACTTGAATTCCGGAGGCGGAGGTTGCAGTGAGCCAAGATAACGCCACCAGCACTCCAGCCTGGTGACAGAGCAAGACTCCATCTGAAAAAACAAAAAAACAAACAATCTCCCTTGGGAGAGAAGGCCAGAGAATGCCCTCTTACTTTATACTTCTTACTGCTTAGCAAATTAATAATTATTTTGTAAACAATTCTGTGAAATCAAATTGTGGCTTTTTTTTTTTTTTTGGGGTGTGTGTGTGTGTGTGTGTGTGTGTGTGTCACGGAGTCTTGCTCTGACACCCAGGCTAGAATGCAGTGGTGTGATCTCAGCTTACTGCAACCTTTGATTCCCAGGTTCAAGCAGTCCTCTCACCTCAGCCTTCCAATTAGCTGGGACTACAGGCACGCACCACCACACCCAGCGAAGTTTTAGTAGAGACAGTTTCACCATGGTCTCAACTCCTGACCTCAAGTGACCTGCCTGCCTTGGCGTCACAAAGTGCTGGGATTACAGGTGTGAGCCACCTTGCCTGGCCACCGGTAAATTGTGGCTCTTTCTTTAATGGTCTAGACCCTCAAATGCACATCGTAATTAAAATTATAAGATATTTGAATACTCTTACCAAAAAAATCTAAATCAGTGGTTTTCAAGTTATGTTCTTTCAAGATTCTGAGGTCATATTTTATAAATTTATAGGCCAAGTCCTTGCTTGCCTGCTTTGGTCAGGGTCTCTCTTCTTTACCTATCTTCTGTAGTTGAGTCCACAGTCTTGTGACTTAAAAAATACTTGAAAGCCAGCTGGGTGTGGTAGCTCATACCTATAATCCCAGCGCTTTGGAAGGATGAGGTGGGCAGATCACTTGAGTTTAGGGAGTCGAGATCAGCCTAGCCAACATGGTGAAACCTTGTCTCTACTAAAAATACAAAGAAAAATATTAGCCAGGCAAGATGGTGCACACCATCCCAGGTACTTGAGAGGCTGAGGCAAGAGAATCACTTGAACTGGGAGGTGGAGGTTGCAGTGAGCTGAGATCACACACTGCGCTCCAGCCTGGGTAACACAGTGAGACTCTGTCTCAAAAAAAAAAAAAAAAAAAAAAAGTATATATATACACACACACACACATACACATATATATATGTATTTTGCATTTACATATATATATACAGTATTTGTATATATGTAAGTACATATATAAGTAAATTTTTATAAATGCATATATGTGTATACAATATATATGTAATTATAAAAATAAAATACATATGTGTATATATATTTGAAGACCAATGAGCTTGATGATCCAGAGAGATATCTTGGAAGTTTTTCCCCAAGACTAATTTAGGAAGAATAGGAAAGGCAGATTAAATAAGATTAAACTGAAGTTCTCTGTTTACCCTTGTCATTATCGTTTAACTTTTTTATTTACCTCAATTAAGATAACCTCTTGCTGGGTGTGGTGGCCCAGTCTGTAATCTCAGCACCTTGAGGCCCAGGCAGGAGGTTTGCTTGAGGCGAGGCATTTGAGACCAGCTGGGCAATATAGTGAGACCCTGTCTGTAAAAAAAAAAAAAAAAAAAATTTTTTTAAGGATAGCCTCCTATCTGTATCTTCAGGCCAGTGAAATATGGGCTTTAAAAAAAAACCATTCTTAATCTTTTTTCCAGTTGTTTAGCTTTTCTCCTTTTCTGACCAGGTGTATGTGACTGCCGAGAGCCGCTTCAGCACCTTGGCGGAGCTCGTACACCATCACTCCACAGTGGCTGATGGGCTGGTGACAACATTACATTACCCAGCACCGAAGTGCAATAAGCCTACAGTCTACGGTGTGTCCCCCATCCATGACAAATGGGAAATGGAACGAACAGATATTACTATGAAGCACAAACTTGGGGGCGGTCAGTATGGAGAGGTTTACGTTGGCGTCTGGAAGAAATACAGCCTTACAGTTGCTGTGAAAACACTGAAGGTGGGTTGCTGAGAATTACAGTTTTCAGGCATCTTTTTCTTTTGTACTCAATCACTTGGAAATACCAGCATGCCCTTCTTTAACTTTGGAACACTTTCCACCCACTGGTGCCAGGCACATCAGCAAATTGTGATGATTAACCCTCGTGCCACTGCTGATAATGCAGAGGCAGTTAATAACTACAGTGCGGTGAGACCCACATGTGGGAAAGGTTTGTCTCTGGAGCCTGTTGGTGTAGATCTTAGTGGGAGGTTAGAAGCAAATTAAGTTATAAAAGCAAAATAAGCTCTTTTGCTTCCCGAGAACGACCCCTGCTGGACAGAATTCTTTGTGCCCTCTCTGAGAATCATGGCCTCTTTCTTGTTCTGTCTTTTTTCTCCCTGCTTCTTGTTCTTCCTGTCTCTTTCTGTCTCTTTGCCGTTAGATCACTTCTTTTTTTTTTTTTTTTTTTTTTTTTTTTTTTTTTGAGGCGGAGTTTTGTTCTTGTTACCCAGGCTGGAGTGCAATGGCGCGATCTCGGCTCACCACAACCTCCGCCTCCTGGGTTCAGGCAATTCTCCTGCCTCAGCCTCCTGAGTAGCTGGGATTACAGGCACGTGCCACCATGCCCAGCTAATTTTTTTTGTATTTTTAGTAGAGACGGGGTTTCACCATGTTGACCAGGATGGTCTCGATCTCTCAACCTCGTGATCCACCCGCCTCGGCCTCCCAAAGTGCTGGGATTACAGGCTTGAGGCACCGCGCCCAGCTACATCACTTCTTAATATTCACCAAAATCTTTTTCCTGATACTACTGTGTGTCTCCTTTAAACATCCCAGTATCAAATTATAAGATTTTCACTCACTTGATTCTCCCAGAGCCTCAGTAACTGTTTCTGGTATATCACTCATAAGGGCTATTCTTTAGCTGTAAGTAGTAGTCCTGTTTCTTAAGCATATTCTGAGTGTGAAGCAATATATAAGGCCTTGCTCTCTAAGAAGATTATGATGTAATGAAGAAGACAAGTATGAAAGCAGCTAAGTATGTGCTCTGTCTCCTCATTCAAAGCCTGAGCTGTCTGGGGAAGTAAACTATGAGAGAACTGAACTCTCCAATGCAGGGCTCCTGTGTTTCATCTGATTATAGGACGTGATCGCTGAATTTTGCTCCTCCTGCTAATTTTTACTCCAGGATATTTTTCTAAGTTGGACTTCTTAAAATAATAATTATTTTGGGCCTGGTGCAGTGGCTCATGCCTATAATCCCAGCACTTTGGGAGGCCGAGATGGGTGGATCACGAGGTCAAGAGATCGAGACCATCCTGGTTAACATGGTGAAACCTCGTCTTTACTAAAAATACAAAAATTAGCTGGGCCTGGTGGCGCACGCCTGTAGTCTCAGCTTCTCGGGAGGCTGAGGCAGGAGAATTGCTTGAACCCAGGAGACAGAGGTTGCGGTGAGCCAAGATCATGCCATTGCACTGCAGCCTGGGTAACAAGAGCAAAACTTCGTCTCAAAAAAATTATTATTATTATTACAATTTCGGCTGGGCATGGTGGCTCACGCCTATAATCCCAGCACTTTGGGAGGCTAAGGCAAGTGGATCACCTCAGGTTAGGAGACAAGCCTGGTCAACAGGGCAAAACCCATCTCTGCTAAAAATACAAAAAGTTACTGGGTATGGTGGCGCACACCTGTGATCCCAGATACTCAGGAGGCTGAGGCAGGAGAATCGCTTGAACCCAGGAGGCAGTGGTTGCAGTGAGATTGCATCACTTCTCTCCAACTTGGGTAACACAGTGAGACTCCGTCGCAAAAAAAAAAAAAAAAAAAAAAAAAAAAAAAAAAAAACAACCAAATTAATTAAATTAAGATGATTATTTCTTAAAACATTCAAAAGATACTTCTTTTTACTTTTAAAGCTGAAGTTTTAGGATTGTGATTAAGTTGGGGGTTTGTCCCTCTCGTTTTCTTCTTTCTTACCTTTCCCTTTTTCCAGGAAGATACCATGGAGGTAGAAGAGTTCCTAAAAGAAGCCGCAGTGATGAAGGAAATCAAGCATCCTAATCTGGTACAACTTTTAGGTGCGGAACCTTGCCCGGACCATAGATTTTCTCCAAAAGTACTTCCCCTTTAACCACTTGCTATCTCCAAATCCTTTTTTTTTCTTTTTAAAAATAGAGACAGGTTCTCACTCTGTTGCCCAGGCTGGTGTCGAAGTAATCCTCCAGCCTGGACCTTTCAGTTTGTTGGGGTTACCATGCTGGGCCTTCCCCGCCCCCTAAACCCTTCTTTTGAATCACCATGGTAGAAACTGCAGGTTTGAATCCACTTCAATAAGTAGTTACAATTTTGGCCAGCAAGGTGGCTCATGCCTGTAATCCCAGCTCTTTGGGACGCTGAGGCAGGTGGATCACCTGACGTCACGAGTTGGAGACAAGCTTGACCAATACGATGAATCCTCATCTGCACTAAAAATACAAAAATTAGCTGGACGTGTTGGCCTGCGCCGGTAATCCCAGTTCCTTGGGAGGCTGAGATGGAAGAATCGCTTGTACCCCAGAGGTAGAGGTTGCACTGAGCCGAGATCACACCATTACACTCCAGCCTGGGCAACAAGAGCGAAACTCCACGTCAAAAAAAAAAAAGAAAAAAGTTATTTTAATCAGTAGCTTCCCTGTTAAAAACTGCCCAAGAAACACAGTGGCCTGGATTGATTTTCGTATATAAAACTGCTCAGTTTGAAAGACAAAAAAAACCCAAAACAAAACAAAACAACTGCTCAGTTTGTAGTAATTGCCCCAGATTCAAAGTTCAGAAGTGTTCAAATGGTACTGAACCAAAAACTCATGAAATGTTTTTGCAAAATAAAGAGGCATTAAACAAAGGACTGTTGATAATAAGCAAATTCACCATTCAGGTCACAAAGAAGTCTTTCACTAAGCCTCTTTACTTTTTAAAAATAGGGCCAGGTTTTTGCTTCTACTTTTGTTTGAGGGTGGTTTTTGTTGTTGTTTTGAAATGGATTCTTGCTCTGTCCCCAGGCTGGAGTACAGTGGCGGAATCTCATTGCAGCCTCTACCTCCCAGGTTCAAGCAATTCCCCTGCCTCAGACTCACAAGTAGCTGGGGGTACAGGTGTGCACCACCACACCTGGCTAATTTTTTGTATTTTAGTAGAGACGGGGTTTCACCATGTTGGCCAGGATGGTCTCGGTCTCCTTACCTCGTGATCTGCCCACCTCGGCCTCCTAAAGTGCTAGGATTACAGGCAAGGGTTGTTTGTTTACATAGTCTCTCTCTGTCGCCCCAGCTGGAGTGCAGTGGCATGATCTTGGCTCACTGCAACCTCCACCTCCCAGGTTGACGTGCTGCTTGTGCCTCAGCATGCATCACCATGCCCAGCTAATTTTTGTATTTTTGGTAGAGACGGGATTTTGCTATGTTGGCCAGGCAAGTTTTGAACTGTTGGTCTCAAGTGATCTGCCTGCCTCAGCCTCCCAAAGTGCTGGGATTACATGGGTGAGCCAGTGCACCTGGCCTCTTGTTGTTTTTTTATAAGGAATATGCCATATATCAGTGAAATCCTTGACGATACAAGCAATGAAAATCTTTTTACAAAGCAGTATTACAGGTGGGGCTCACATAATCTTCAGCATGTGCACAATTTCTATTACTTTTGAATAAGTATGGTTAGCCTGCAGTTAAGGAGGAGAATCACAGGCCATGTGCAGAAGTCTAGAAATGTTGGTTTTCTTGGTTCCTTACAGAATTAATACAAGTAACGCTGCTTTTGCTCAAACAGACATATCCTCAGATGCACATGAATTCCCAGAGAGCTAGGACCGGAGGCAAGGACTCCCTTTTGAACCAGCTTCTTAATTTTTGCTATATTAATTTCAGAGAACATGGTGGTAAGAAGGGAAAGATTGTCCTAAACTAGACCTGAAAAATTCTCAAATTATTCAGGACCAAAGTGGTTTGGAGTGTTTGAATGAATATTAATAAAACAAGCACTATTCTTCAACTTTTAGGGGTGTGTACTTTGGAGCCACCATTTTACATTGTGACTGAATATATGCCATATGGGAATCTGCTGGATTATCTCCGAGAATGCAACCGAGAAGAGGTGACTGCAGTTGTGCTGCTCTACATGGCCACTCAGATTTCTTCTGCAATGGAGTACTTAGAGAAGAAGAATTTCATCCATAGGTTTGTAAAACTTGCCTGTGACTAACCATGAAGCCATCCTGATTGACATGTAGTTAAAAGGAAGAATGTGGGAACCTTCCCAGAAAATTTCAGATGATTCAAGAGAGTAATTCTGTATTTCACAGTGCCCATTATTAAATCACTTCTAACTTGTAAACCTACTATACTCTGATTAAAGTATTAATAAGGGGACTTTGCTAGTCTCAAAACTGAGAACTCTATTAAAAAAAAAAAAAAAGGCTGGGCGTGGTGGCTCATGCCTGTAACCCCAGCTCTTTGTGAGGCTGAGGCAGGCAAATCACAAGGTCAGGAGTTTGAGACCACCCTGACCAACATGGTGCAACCCTGCCTCTACTAAAAATACAAAAAATTAACTGGGCGTGGTGGCATGTGCCTGTAATCCCAGCTACTCAGGAAGCTGGGGCAGGAGAATTGCTTGAACCCCAAAGGCAGAGGTAACAGTGAGCCAAGATAGTGCCATTGCACTCCAGCCTGGGCGACAGAGCAAGACTCTGTCTCAAAAAATTAAAAAATTAAAAATTAAAAAAACAAAATTACAGTAGTGATGGGGTCTTGCTGTGTTGACCAGGCTAGTCTCAAACTCCTGGCCTCAAGTGATCCTCCCATCTTGACCTTCCAAAGTGCTGGGGTTACAGGTATGAGCCACCACGCCCAGCCAGAGAGCTCTCTTATTTTGCCCACCTTTTTCACCATTTAGTGTTGTTTTTTTGTTTGTTTGTTTGTTTTGTTTTGTTTTTGTTTTTGAGACGGAGTTTCCTCTTGTTACCCAGGCTGGAGTGCAATGGCGCGATCTCGGCTCACCGCAACCTCCACCTCCCGGGTTCAAGCAATTCTCCTGCCTCAGCCTCCTGAGTAGCTGGGATTACAGGCACGCGCCAACATGCCCAGCTAATTTTTTGTATTTTTAGTAGAGACGGGGTTTCACCATGTTGACCAGGATGGTCTCGATCTCTCGACCTTATGATCCACCCGCCTCGGCCTCCCAAAGTGCTGTGATTACAGGCTTGAGCCACCGGTTTGTTTGTTTTTTAAATACTTTCTTGAGACAGGCTGGCTCAGTGGCCCAGGCTGGAATGCAGTGATTCGATCTTAGTTTACTGCACCTTCTGCCTCCTGGGCTCAAGCTATCCTCCCACCTCAGCCTCCTGAGTAGCTGGGACTACAGGGGTGTGCCACCCTGTTGGTTAAATGTTTTTTGTTTGTTTTTTATAGAGACAGGGTTTTGCCTTGTTGCCTGGGCTGGTCTTGAACTCTTGAGCTCAAGAGATACACCCACCATGGACTCTCAAAGTGCTAGGATTACAGGTGTGAGCTACCACACCTGGCCTAGAGGCTGAATTTTTAAAATAGTTTTCTACTTTAGTAAATAACTGAAAGTCTTACAGGAAAGCATCTATTGCTGATCTATCCCAATGTATTTATAAATAGGGACCCATATTATAAAGCCTACTTTATTCTGCTTCTTGATGAGTATTCTACAGTGATATATCATCAGTGGCTTTCTAAGATGTTAGTGATTATCAAAAAATCCTACCATATTTGTCAGCAGTTAGTTTACTCTGCCTATAACACAAAAAACCAAGAGTAGAGTGTTCATGACCATTTTCCTCACTGTCTGAATGGAATCACATATAGGGTTCTCTTTCCCACAGAGATCTTGCAGCTCGTAACTGCCTAGTGGGAGAAAACCATGTGGTAAAAGTGGCTGACTTTGGTTTAAGTAGATTGATGACTGGAGACACTTATACTGCTCATGCCGGAGCCAAATTTCCTATTAAGTGGACAGCACCAGAGAGTCTTGCCTACAATACCTTCTCAATTAAATCTGATGTCTGGGGTAAGGTTGAAAGGGACTTTTTTCTGTATCATTTTATTTTTTTAATAAATGCCCTTGATTCTTTAGAGCTTCTCTTTTTTATGATGTTCAGTATCCTCTACCTTTACCTGCCATTCTTCTTCAGTTACTCGGCAAGCATTTGTTAAGCACCTCCTGTCTGCCAGTATTGTGCTAAGAACGTCACCTAAACAGAAGTATAGGCCTGACGTGGTGGCTTACACCTGTAATTTCAGCGCTTTGGGCTGAGGTGGGCAGATCGCTTAAGGTCGGGAGTTTGAGAACAGCCTGGTCAACATAGTGAAACCCCATTTCAGGTTATGAGTTTGAGACCAGCCTGGACAACATGGTGAAACTCCATCTCTGCTAACTACAAAAATTAGCCAGGCGTGGTGGTGCGCGCCTGTAATTCTGGCTACTTGGGAGGCTGAAGGCTGAAGCAGAAGAATTGCTTGAGCCTGGGAGGTGGACGTTACAGTGAGCCAAGATGGTACCACTGCACTGCAGCCTGGCCAATAGAACGAGACTCTGTCTCAAAAAAAAAAAAAGTATAAAGAAAGTTTTGAAAAAAGTCGATTCCTTCAAGAGCACTCACAGTCTAGATTTCATATTGCACTGGTGTGCTGATGATCCCCTCTCTGTATAGCACCGTATTTCCATAATTTTTTTTTCTTTTCTTGCTCTGTTGTCTAGGCTGGAGTGCAGTGGCACAATTGCAGCTCACTGCGACCTCCATCTCCCAGGTTCAAGCGATTCTCCTACCTCAGCCTCCCAAGAAGCAGGGACTACAGGCATGCACCACCATGCCTGGCTAGTTTTTGTCGTTATAGTAGAGATGGTAGAGATGAAGTTTCACCATGTTGGCCAGGCTGGTCTCGAACTCCTGACCTCAGATGATCCACCTGTCTCAGCCTCCCAAAGTGTTGGGATTACAGGAGTGAGCCTCTGCACCTGGCTTCACATTAGGTTTTATTACTCATTTGCAAAGTACTGTGTCACAGAGCTTTCTTTTCAAGGGAAGCGTGATGAGGTTTCATCTAGAATTTGTCCTTACTGATCTTCTTTCTACTGCTCTGAGAAGTAATATGAGGTGGTAGAAGCTTAGTAGACTGAACGATCTGGAAATTTGGATTGTGGGCCAGTAGAAATAGTCATAGAATTGTAAGTCACTTTTTACTAGAAATCTCAAATAACTGTGACAAAATCAAATTTTTTTCGGCTCTGAATTGTATCTGATTTTAAATGAATTTTTTTATTTTCTGAGTTTAAAACTGTTATACTTATTAAACACAGCGGTTCCCCTTTATCCTCGGAGAATACATTCTAAGACACCCACCCCACCCCCCACCGGCTTGGATGCCTGAAACCAAGGATAGTGTCAAGCTCTGGATATATAGTCTTTTTTTGATCTGATAACTGAGAGGTCTTCTCAGTGACTAAGGCATGAGTAGCATCTATGGTGTGGGTATGGAAAAGCGTGGCTTGAGATTTCACCATGCTACTCAGAGCAGTATGCAGTTTAAAACTTTCAAATTGTTTATTCCTGGAATTTTCTACTGAATATTTTTCGACCTTGGCTGACTGTAACAAACTATGGAAAATGAAACCATGGATAAGGGGTGACTACTGTGTATCAAAGACTTTCCTAAGAATAGTTGGATTATGCCCCAACTTCTTATGTGGTCATAGTTTATTTTCACTCACTATAGTAAAGGAAATCTAAATAAAAATTGGGGAATTTAAATAAAACCATCTTGAGATTATATGCCTGTGGCAAATATTTTAGAAGGACAAGCCATGCCGTAAGAGTTGATAAGAGTGTATTCTATGTTAATGTTGTTGTAACAGGGTGTGAATGTTATCTAAAATTGGAAAGAGAATTACCTAATTATGTAAAATAAATAATACATCAGAGGAAAAACACTAAGTGCTTTTTTAAATTCCTTATGCAGCTTTTGGGGTACTGTTGTGGGAAATTGCTACCTATGGAATGTCACCGTATCCAGGTATTGACTTGTCTCAGGTCTATGACCTACTAGAAAAAGGATATCGAATGGAACAGCCTGAGGGGTGCCCCCCGAAAGTTTATGAACTTATGAGAGCATGTGAGTATTTTTGCATATTTTAATTTCGAAGGCATAAGCTAGCAGTTCAGAATAGTTAACAAAATTAGAAACTTTTCTACTCTCAGTGCGGTTTGATTGAATCCAGCCTCATGACATTTAAAGAGTTTATCATTGATCAGCCAGTTGTTATATCATATAGCATTGAGTCTTTATGGAATCCCAAGAATAGTTTTTATTATGGCCCAAATACTGGCCCAGTTTCTCAGAGACATTTGCATATTTAATAAGATAAGAGATTGAGTTTAGAGCTTAAGATGGGGAGGGCTCCTTTCAACTAGATAAAAGTGATTGTTAAAGACTATGAAGAATTTGTACAAATACCTCTGTGTTGGATAAACAGAAGCATCTGATTGCTTGCAGATAAAAAAGTAGGGAAGTGAGTAGTGAATTAAATTGCAGTTGTTGTTTTTGTTTGCTTTGTTTTTTGTTGTTTTTGAAACAGAATCTTGCTTGTTGCTCAGGGTGGGGTACAGTGGTGTGATTTTTGACTCACTGCAACCTCCACCTCTTGGGTTAAAGCGATTCTCCTGCCTCAGCCCCTGAGTCGCTGGAACCACAGCCACACTCCACCATGCCCAGTTAATTGTTGTTGTTGCCACCCGACTGGAGGGAGTGCAGTGTCGCAGTCTCTGCAACCTCTACCCTCCAGATTCAAGCAGTTCTCCTGCCTCAGCCTCCCAGGTAGCTGGAATTACACGTGTCTGCCATCACACATGGCTAATTTTTGTATTTTTGGTAGAGATGGGGTTTCACCATGTTGGCCAGGCTAGTCTCGAACTCCTGACCTCAAGTGATTCGCCCATCTTGGCCTCCCAAAGTGCTGGGATTATAGGTGTGAGCCACCGCGCCTAGCTTAATCTTTGTATTTTTAGTAGAGTCAGGTTTTCACCATGTTGGCCGGGCTGGTCTTGAACTCCTGGCCTCAAGTAATCCACCTGCCTCAGTCTCCCAAAATGCTGTGATTACAGGCGTGAGCCACCGTGCCCAGCCTGCATTGCAGTTGTGTCTGAACATAAGTCTGTGTTCTTTGCTCACTGAACATTGATGTTCTCTGTTGTACTTTATCAAAAGTAAACTCTGAGCTCCTCCTTTTTGATATTCTTTTATATTACTGAGTATGTACAGTTGATTATTTATACGGTCAGGCTGAGTTTGAAGACAGGTTTTACTTCTTCCATTTGAAAATGGAAGAAAACTTGCCATTTTCTAAACCATCTTCCTGTCTCTCCTCATCCTTTAGTAGAAGGAATAGGAGCTGAGGCTAAATAGAAGCACCAGCCCTAGAAAGTGGGTTCATGGCCAGGTGTGGTGCTCACACTTGTAATTCTAGCAGTTTGGGAAGCCACAGTGGGCAATTGCTTGAGCTCAGGAGTTCAAAAGTAACCTGAGCAATGTGGCAGAATCCTGTCTATAAAAATACAAATATTAGCTGGGTGTGGTGTTGCACACCCATAGTCCCAGCAACTTGGGAAGCTGAGGCAGGAGGATTGCTTGAACCGAGGAGGTCCATGCTGGAGTGCAGTGGTGCAGTTTGGCTCACTGCAATCTCCACCTCCCAGATTCAAGTGATTCTTGTGCTTCCCTCCTGCGTAGCTGGGATTTCAGGTACCCACCACCACGCCCAGCTAATTTTTGTATTTTTAGTAGAGATGGGGTTTCGCCAGGTTGACCAGGCTGGTCTCAGACTCCTGGCCTTCTGTGATCTGTCAACCTAGGTCTCCCAAAGTGCTGGGATTATAGATGTGAGCCACCATGCCCGGGCTTGGATATATCGACATGGAAAGGAGTTAAAGGTTAACTTTAACTTAATAAACGAGGATATCCAGATGTCCAGTAAGCATATGAAGTGAGCCGAGATCATGCCACTGTGCTCCAGCCTAGGTGACAGAGCAAGACCCTGTCTCAAAGAAAAAGGAAAAAGGAATTTAGGAAGTGGGTTCATTGGCCAGGCATGGTGGCTCAGCCTGTAATCGCAGCACTTCGGGAGGCCGAGGCGGGTGGATCACCTGAGGTCGGGAGTTCAAGACCAGCCTGACGAACATGGAGAAAATTCAAAAAATTAGCAAGGTGTTGTGGCACATGCCGGTAATCCCAGCTACTCGGGAGGCTGAGGAAGGAGAATTGCTTGAACCCAGGAGGCGGAGGTTGCAGTAAGCCGAGATCTCCAATGCACTCCAGCCTGGAGTTCAAAAGCAAAACTCAATCTCAAAAAAAAAAAAAAAAAAAAAGTGGGTTCGTTATACCTCAGTCTGGAGCTGAGAAGTGGCTATGTTGCTATCATTGTGAACATGCTGTAACATGTGTCTAATAAGTACACATCATGAGGCATGGAACTCATTATTAGACATACCACTGGATATTGAATTTCTGCAAGGAGTTTTTAATATTTTATTCATCCGTTACATAGGCTGGAAGTGGAGTCCTGCCGATAGGCCCTCTTTTGCTGAGACACACCAAGCTTTTGAAACCATGTTCCATGACTCCAGCATTTCTGAAGGTGAGAATCTGTAGAATTTACCATTGGTGACTATTCTGGGTAGTGGTGGTGATGATGATGGTAATTACATTTCAAAAATGATCTGCTTCTGTAGTTTGGGACTCTGTTTCATGATACTGAATTAATTTTTGACCTTCATTATTGCTGTGTTGCTTTTTTGCTATTTTCAGTGCATCTTTGTGTCTCGTTTATTTATTTATTTATTTTATTTATTTATTTATTTATTTATTTATTTGAGACGGAGTTTCGCTCTTGTTACCCAGGCTGGAGTGCAATGGCGCGATCTCGGCTCACCGCAACCTCCGCCTCCTGGGCTCAGGCAATTCTCCTGTCTCAGCTTCCTGAGTAGCTGGGATTACAGGCACGCGCCACCATGCCCAGCTAATTTTTTGTATTTTTAGTAGAGACGGGGTTTCACCATGTTGACCAGGTTGGTCTCGATCTCTCGACCTTGTGATCCACCCGCCTCGGCCTCCCAAAGTGCTGGGATTACAGGCTTGAGCCACCGCGCCCGGCATGTGTCTCGTATATTTAAAATTGAAATTGTATTTTAATTAGAAATTTATTCATCCTCCCTTTAACATTAGTAAGTTTGGTAGCTCTTTAAGCATCAATATTTAGGATGTAGGAAAGAGAAAAGGAAAAAAATAAGTACAAAAAAAAAATTCGAATAACTCCCTGAACCGCATCTACAAAGCAGAACCAAGCTGTAGAAACAATATTCAGACATTCCATTTTTGGAAATAGATCTTAAGGAAATAATTAAGAATGTAAACAGAGATTTAACTGTAAGGACATTGCATCAGAGTGTAGTTTATAATAGTGAGAAATTATGAACAACTTAAATATCTAGTGGACTGCAAATTATTACATTCATATAGCTGAATACTTAAAATTATATATATATATATATATATGAAGCATGAGATTACAGGCATGAGGAGCCTCATGCCTGTAATCCTGATCCCAGCACTTTGGGAGGCCGAGGCAGGTAGATCCTACAAGGTCAGGAGTTTGAGATCAGCCTGGCCAACATGGTGAAACCCCATCTCTACCAAAAATTTAAAAAATAGCTCGGCATAGTGGCAGGTGCCTGTAATCCCAGCTACTCGGGAGGCTGAGGCAGGAGAATTGCTTGAACCCAGGAGGCAGAGGTTGCAGTGAGCCAAGATAAAGCCATTGCACTCCAGCCTGGGTGACAGGGTGAGACTCTGTCTCAAAAAAAAAAAAAAAAAAAAAAAAAATCAAGCCAAAAAAAAGAAAAATGATAACATCAAATTTTAGCAAGCATGCAGAGTAACCAGAGCTTTCATGCAAAATAGTATAGCCATTTAGGGACAGGTTGGCAGGACCTGATAAACCTGAATGCACATATACCTTGTGATCCACTAGTTCTCCTGTGTTTGTGCTGGTCAGATGTGCATAACATTGTCTACCCAAAGACACATAGCAGGATGATGCTAGCAATGTATTCACAGTAACCCCAAACTAGAAACAACCTAAACATCTATCAAGAGGAGAACAGGTGGATTGTGGTATATTCACACATTGGCATACTACACAGCAATGAGAACCCCTGCCACATGCAGCAGCGTGGACAAATCTACAGACATGATACTGGGCAAGAGAAGACAGAAGAGTACATATTTTATGATTCCGTGTATGTATTTTAGTACTCGCTACTTGTCAGTTGTTTCTCAGCTGTGTGCCTTCTCTGAAAAGAACTCCCTTTCTCTGTGATGAAATTGTTCTTTTGATCCGTCCCCTTGTCTTCCTCACAGAAGTAGCTGAGGAGCTTGGGAGAGCGGCCTCCTCGTCATCTGTTGTTCCCTACCTGCCCCGGCTACCTATACTTCCTTCCAAGACTCGGACACTGAAGAAACAGGCAGAGAACAAGGAGAACATTGAAGGGGCACAGGATGATGCCACAGAAAACTCTGCTTCCAGTTTAGCACCAGGTAGGCGTCCCTAGGCAGCCAGAATCAAAATAGAAGCTACCTTGTTGAAAGAAGCATGGGATATGAGGCTTTTCTGTCCACTTTACTGCCCCTCTTCCCTGAGGAAAGCATGAAGTCTCTTCCACCCACCTCTGAAGTCCTTGGCTCCACATTGTAAGTGTTAGTTGTCCTGATCTGTCCATCCATCCATCATACAACTCTGCCTCCAGTTTCATCTCCTTAACTCTGGGTTCCCAAATAGGTGTCATCTTTACAGATCCGTCAAAAACTCTGCTGAACCTGATAGAAGGGAACGGGTTGCGCAGTGGTTTTTAAAGAAAGGATGAATGTTGCCGGGCGCGGTGGCTCAAGCCTGTAATCCCAGCACTTTGGGAGGCCGAGGCGGGTGGATCACAAGGTCAAGAGATCGAGACCATCCTGGTCAACATGGTGAAACCCCGTCTCTACTAAAAATACAAAAAATTAGCTGGGCATGGTGGCGCGTGCCTGTGATCCCAGCTACTCAGGAGGCTGAGGCAGGAGAATTGCCTGAACCCAGGAGGCGGAGGTTGCGGTGAGCCGAGGTTGCGCCATTGCACTCCAGCCTGGGTAACAAGAGCAAAACTCCGCCTCAAAAAAAAAAAAAAAAAAAAAAAAAGGATGAATGTTGAGGTGATAACCAGCAGGTTGTCTCCCCCCATTTGTAACCCACATCACATTTGGAACATCAGTCACTGTGAAGTGATACTGTATTTATTTTTTGCCTCTGAGTCCCGCCAACACCTGACATTTGATAAATGCTGGCAAAACTTACAATGCAGCCTCGGTAACTCAACTATAATAGATTCACTTCTTGTCTTTCGCGTTACTGATGGGCCTTTTCTCATCAGGGTTCATCAGAGGTGCACAGGCCTCCAGTGGATCCCCAGCACTGCCTCGAAAGCAAAGAGACAAGTCACCCAGTAGCCTCTTGGAAGATGCCAAAGAGACATGCTTCACCAGGGATCGGAAGGGGGGCTTCTTCAGCTCCTTCATGAAAAAGAGAAATGCTCCCACACCCCCCAAACGCAGCAGCTCCTTCCGAGAAATGGAGAATCAGCCCCATAAGAAATACGAACTCACGGGTAACTTCTCATCTGTTGCTTCTCTACAGCATGCTGATGGGTTCTCATTCACTCCTGCCCAGCAAGAGGCGAATCTGGTGCCACCCAAGTGCTATGGGGGGAGCTTTGCACAGAGGAACCTGTGTAATGACGACGGTGGTGGGGGTGGGGGCAGTGGCACTGCTGGGGGTGGGTGGTCTGGCATCACAGGCTTCTTTACACCACGCTTAATCAAAAAGACACTGGGCTTACGAGCAGGTAAACCCACAGCCAGTGATGACACTTCCAAGCCTTTTCCAAGGTCAAACTCTACATCTTCCATGTCCTCAGGGCTTCCAGAGCAGGATAGGATGGCAATGACCCTTCCCAGGAACTGCCAGAGGTCCAAACTCCAGCTGGAAAGGACAGTGTCCACCTCTTCTCAGCCAGAAGAGAATGTGGACAGGGCCAATGACATGCTTCCAAAAAAATCAGAGGAAGGTGCTGCTCCAACCAGGGAGAGACCAAAAGCCAAGTTACTGCCCAGAGGAGCCACAGCTCTTCCTCTCAGAACCCCCTCTGGGGATCTAGCCATTACAGAGAAGGACTCTCCAGGGGTGGGAGTGGCTGGAGTGGCAGCTGCCCCCAAGGGCAAAGAGAAGAATGGTGGGGCACGACTTGGCATGGTTGGAGTCCCAGAGGATGGAGAGCAGCCCGGCTGGTCTTCTCCAGCCAAGGCTGCCCCTGTCCTCCCAACCACTCACAACCACAAAGTGCCCGTCCTTATCTCGCCCACTCTGAAACACACTCCAGCTGACGTGCAGCTCATTGGCACAGACTCTCAGGGGAATAAATTCAAGCTTTTATCTGAGCATCAGGTTACATCCTCTGGAGACAAGGACCGACCCCGACGAGTAAAACCAAAGTGTGCCCCACCCCCACCACCAGTGATGAGACTACTGCAGCATTCGTCCTTAGGTTCAGACCCTACAGAAGAGCCCACTGCCCCGACTGCAGGACAGTCCACATCAGAAACGCAGGAAGGAGGAAAGAAGGCAGCTCCGGGCGCAGTGCCCATCAGTGGGAAAGCTGGGAGGCCCGTGGTGCCTCCACCTCAAGTGCCTCTGCCCACATCTTCCATCTCGCCCGCCAAAATGGCCAACGGCACAGCAGGTACTAAAGTGGCCCTGAGAAAAACCAAACAGGCCGCTGAGAAAATCTCAGCAGACAAAATCAGCAAAGAGGCCCTGCTGGAATGTGCCGACCTACTGTCCAGCGCAATCACGGAACCCGTGCCCAACAGCCAGCTGGTAGACACTGGACACCAGCTGCTGGACTACTGCTCAGGCTACGTGGACTGCATCCCTCAAACTCGGAACAAATTTGCCTTCCGAGAGGCTGTGAGCAAACTGGAGCTCAGCTTACAGGAGTTACAGGTGTCTTCAGCAGCTGCTGGTGTGCCCGGGGCAAACCCGGTCCTTAATAACTTATTGTCATGTGTACAGGAAATCAGTGATGTGGTACAGAGGTAGCCACTGTTAGCCTGGTGGGAAAATGCACACATTTCTGAGGGGAGAGGGAAAGGGACTTGTTTTCCTGTGTTCTTGTTTTCAAAAAATGACTCATACTTGAGTGTGTGTATGTGAAGTACCTCAGATCCCTGAGTTCTCACGTTTACAGTTTCATCTCAAAAATAAGACGCTAACCACAAAAGTATAGGAGAGGTAAATAATTAAGTGGGGGCAAGGCAGTAGTAGACAGGGTTGGAAACTGCACTGGAACATCAGGGAACAGATGTATGTCGTAAGGAAGGCAGTGCAGCCCGTCCCTCCCTGGAATGCCGGGAGGTGCTAGGCGGGGCTGCTCTCAGCAACACCGCAGCCGCTGCGCCCAGACCTGGGGCCCTGGTAGATACTCCTGCTCATTATGCTCCAATTTACCTAATGAGTTTGGTGGGACAGAAGAAAGGAAAGCTGGGAACGCACCAAGAGAAATTTTTGTTCAAGGCTGTTGGAAGCACCCCTAGCCTTGCTTTCACAAGGCCATTGCTGCTGTCATGAGAACTGCAAATCAGAGTGCTGCAACACAAAGTTGGGAAATGGGGCCCTATCCGAATGCGTCCGTCCTGTTTTCTGCTGGTGTATTGGTTGGTGCAGGAAATAAAGAATGCCGGCAAGTTGAGTCAGGGAGATTGAAAACCTTCTCCTATAAAATCTTGTATAGATTAGCAGCAGTCACTTCTCCCAGTCTGGTATGTTATTTTGTAATGGACCAGGATTGGCTTCCTGCTTGTTGGTGGCTGTCTGTAAACCATGGGTACGGGCGTCTCCCTAGTGGTTCTTGTCTTTTGCTGGGCAGCCTGTCTTCCTTTATTCCTGATAGCATTCGGAGCATTGACCAATGTCGATTTGGAAAATGTTGTCTCTGCAGGTTCTCACGAGGGAATTAATCCTGTTCCGATACAGTTCCCCTGCATACTGACATACTGGCCAAGGACTCGAGCAGCTCTGTATTTTTCTTGATCAGCTAAAATAGCAGGGAGGTGGTCTTGTCTTGAAACCCGGTGGCCTGTGACTGAAAGGAAAAGCTGGTCCTAATGGCTTGGTCTAGATGGCTGTTTCTCTGTACCTTTCCCCTCACTTAACCACCGAAGGCCCAACGTAGGTAGAGATTAGGGAGCAGCATTCCCGTCTCTGTGGATTTGAAGTGAGTAATTGCCCACATTCTTCTCACATGCTTTTCTTCTTGCACATACTCCTCCCTACTCCCCACCCAGTCATTGTGCTTCTTTGTACAGATTTTATTTGGAATATTCTTTTATTTATTTTGTCATTTCACTTCTATTTTAAGAATGCATAATTGAAGGAGTAGTCCTTTTCAGGGAGCACCGGTTAGACCCTGGAAACCTAACGACTTAATCCTGAAATATGTTTTGCCCTTGAAAAATAGGCCTTTTCCTTCCCTACTTAGTTACAGTTGTGGAAGCTAATTAAGATGGCATGGAAGTGAATCTAACGAGTTAGGTGTTATTAATGTTCTTGGTATTGAGTGTAATTTCAGTTACTGCTTCGTTCTCTTTTTAAAGCTTTATGAATACTTCCCCCATCCTACCAAGGAGAGCCCAGTACACCTGTATTTTTATTTTATGCTCTCAAAGGAATAGTAGCTTCGGAAGATAGGAATTCAACATTGAGCAGTTTTCTTCCTGGCTCTGTCATTGGTACACTGTCAAACCACAGCCCCATCTCTTAATCTGTTAATTAAGGTAATAGTACATGTTCTCAAGAGTGTTGCAAATAAGTGTACAGCTATCCCTTTGAGAGCTTCTCTGGAAAGCTCTTTTAGTGCAGTGTTATTATGCTGAATGGTTTTTCATCCTCTTATTTGCTGAGTAGAAAATATTCATGAAATTAAGAATTGCTGAGAGTCTATTAATTGGGCTAAGAATACTAAGGGGGAAACTGTTTTGAATGGAGTTTGGCATCTTTGACCAAGAACAAAACTCAGTTTTCATTAGAAAGAAAGAAAGGAAACCTTGATTCTTACCATTGCTGCTCCAAAGGTGGCCCAGGTTCGGAGGAGGGTTAGAGGGACTGAGCAGTGCTGGGCATTCCTGGCAGGTGCTGGGTGATCCCACCAGCGTGTCACCTGCAGCTGCAGCCCAGGCAGCGAGTGGTCGGGTTCATCTCCTCCTGGTGGCTGGAAGAGAACTCACATGTGAAAAACCAGCAGTCCTCCTCCCACCTTGTTTCCTGCCACTCATGCTCATCATGCTTGTCCATAAACTTGAAGAACTCGTTTTAGCAGTTAGCCTTTTAAGGTCAAGGATGGGAAAGCTAAAACTGTAGAGTATTATTATGCTGCTTTTTAGGTTTATCCCTGTCGTGGGATGCAGTTAAGGGATTATACTTGTTTTTTCAGGGGATTTTTATTTGTTCGTTTTTTAAGCAGGGGCTCTGTTTTTCCCTTGAGAGTTCTGGAAATAAGCCTTGGAGAAACACTACTGAGTATATTTAGGCTCCCTGGTTTTCTCTCCCAACAACAATCCTAAGGGTAGGGGGTGGGGCTGTTTCTTACTCAGGGGCAACACCTAGCTCTGTCTTGCCTGCAGTGGGTGCACGATTTATAAATGGAATTGATTTTTCTCCACACTGTCAAGGGTGGCATTGACTTTTGGAGCATATCCCGTCCACATGATGCTTGAACTATGTAACTTCAGGGGTTGAGGGCTCAAGGTTCAGGTTGAAGAGGCACTGTCAACTTAACTAAACAAGCATTTATGTTTTTCCTTTTTCTACTTGAAAAGGACCAGCTTAAACACAAACCCTTATGTAAATTAAAAGGTTCCAGTCCAAAGCAGAGAAAACTGCTTCTAGAAACTAAAAGTGTAGTTTAATTTTAACTACCCTAAAAGCAAAGAGGAAAGGCGTCGGACAAGACGTTGGCGGTTTTCTAAAGCGACCGTTAGGCCGTGTGTCGGGATGCATGCCTTTGCTGCAACTGCCTGATTCCTTTCGTGTACAGATCATGTGATTTCAGTTTAGATTTCCTACTTTAAAATGCCGTGATTTGTGTTGAATACATCTTGGTTGTGCTTTACATAAAGTATTTCCTTAAAAGGCTTTGTGTAAAATTTAAATGTATATTTTCTTCCTGTAGACTTTCATCATGATTTTCAGAGATTAGCCTTAAAAACTTTGGCCACAAGAAATTTATTCAGTGTCTGCTAGATGACCTCTGTACATAGAGGTCATTATAGTGGAGACCCTTTACCAGCAGCATTTCAGAATTTAAATTAGAAAGCGTCTTAGGACTCAACTGAAAGCTGGCTAGTAAAATCATCCCCAGGTAATAAAGCTTGCTGACTTTGCTAAGGCACTGCCCATTTTCATTGAAAGTTATGGAGATTTTGAGTTTAAAGGATACAGTATAGATAGTGGTTTCGTGCTTAGGCTCTAATGCCCGTCTAAAAGGCAAGTCATGTAACCTTGGGAGCCTCAGTTTCCTCATTGTAAAACAGGGATAATAATAGTAACTACCTCAGGGTTGTAAGGATGAAATGAGATGATGTTTGTAAGATACTTAGCTCAAGTGCCTGGCACATAGTGAGCACACTCTGTAATGTTAAACTACTATTATTAACACCTAGTCTAGGGGTGCACAGCAGAATCCCCTAGGGTTAAAAAAAACCACACAAACTGATGGTTAAGCCCCACTCCAGATGAGAATTCCCAGTGGGCTGGGGTCTCAGCCAGTGTATTCACCAGTAATTTCTCCAGGTGTTTCAAACACCTAGTGCTATCTATAAACTCTCAGTACCCCAGCCCTCTTTATAGATTAAGAAACTAGCAGAAGATGGTTAAGTTACTTGCCCATTGTCTCAGAACAGTTAATTAGTGGCAGAGCCAAGGCTAGAATTCAGGTCTCCTGACTCTGTGGTCGTGGGGTCTTTCCACCATACCTGCTGCCATGTGTACACTGCCAAAAAGTGGCTCAGAAAGACAATCAGCCAGTGTGGCACTGCACACTTTCTAAAGCACATGCTCCTGACACTCTGACCTTAGGGGGCGTGAATGGTAAGTAATGGGAACACGAGCAAAGCAAGCATTCGGTAGAACCCAGTCATTTAGAAAATTATATGGGGTCATTCTTTCGGACAGACCTCAGCAACACAGCAATGTGCACTTTGTAGTAAAGAAATACCAACCTGAGTTTTCAAAAAACCTAGTTAGTCCTACATTCCTTTTTCTTAAAACAAAACAAAAAACAAAAAAAACAAACTTTATTGTTCACAATATTTTAATGACTGTGAGATAATGTATATGAGAGCACTTTGAGAAGATATCAACTGTAATATAATTATAAGGTTGTAGTATTGTCTGTTTAAAAGATAAGACAGGCCGGGCGCGGTGGCTCAAGCCTGTAATCCCAGCACTTTGGGAGGCCGAGGCAGGTGGATCACGAGGTCGAGAGATCGAAACCATCCTGGTCAACATGGTGAAACCCCGTCTCTACTAAAAATACAAAAAACTAGCTGGGCATGGTGGCGGGTGCCTGTATTCCCAGCTACTCAGGAGGCTGAGGCAGGAGAATTGCCTGAACCCAGGAGGCGGAGGTTGCGGTGAGCCGAGATCGCGCCATTGCACTCCAGCCTGGGTAACAAGAGCGAAACTCCGTCTCAAAAAAAAAAAAAAAAAAGACAGTTGGTTCAATGTGGATGGACCCTGTGGGGGACCTGGAAATGCGGGCATACAAGAATCACCTCTGTCATTTATCACATTTAGAAATATGAAACTGCTTAACGACTATGAACAGGTATAGCAAGTGTTTTGCTAAAGCTGTAGTTCAGAGCTGAAACTCGGGACCAATTTTTTGGTTTAATTGCAATCTTTAAAAAGTAAGAATGTATGTTCACTCTAGAATACAGAAGCTCTTCCAGGGACCTTGACTCAGAGATGAGGCCCTCTGACTCGTCAGCATTTGTCCATTTGTCCACTGTACGCTTGGCCATTTATCCTAAGTGTGGTGGGAGCGGACTTGTTGTCTGTTGATGTTGACAGTGTCTTTTTTAACCCATGTCCTGCATGGTTTCTTTAAGTTTGCAGCAGGAGGTGGATGGCCATAAAGCCAGTGCACTTTGGGAATTACCTTTTCTAGGACTTCCTACCAGTTATAAATGACATCGACATTTGCCGTCTCTCCTTTTCCTTTTCTAAAAAGAGTAACTGAATTTAATTCACCAATTAGAGTATAAAATACTTGAATAAATTGCATTGGCGGCCACTGCTGACTTACAGCTACATTTCATTCTGACCTCTCCTGCTCCCTTCCATTTTGCTACTGATGTCGTCGTTATTATCAGGCTGTGCCTCTCCCAGGAGTTCATATTGGGTTGACGGGGTTATCTATATTTTTGTTCTTGACTTTTGAGTTTCATCGTCTTGGATTAAATTGTTCCACCTGGACTTGGGATTCATCTCTGTTCCTAAGCATCTGCTATGACCAATCCTCTTTTTCTAGGTGATTTAAGGATTGATAGGCTTCAGAGATTTGTATCTCTTAGCTCACATCAAGCCAGTCGTAGCTCACTTCCTTTGTAAATGCCTGCTTCAGTGTGGGATCCATAGGAGTATGTGAGAACTTCTGAAACCTCTTCCACTCTTAACAGTCTAGATATCTATATCATTTGGATAGAGTTCGGGTCTTCCAACTATTAAAGAAATCTAATGCAAGGCTTGTTTTTTTTTCCCTAACAAGCCAGTAGTGATACTCTTACTTGCTCTGTTCAGCACAACTGTAGTTCACTTGACCTTCATGGCCATTCCCTGTGCTCCTTCATTACCAGGAAGCATGGGTGGGATTCAGGGCTGTGGGATGAGCTGCATCCTTCTCTGAGCACTCGCCCCCATAACTCTTAGCTCCAGCCTGTCTTTTGGGACTTTTACTGCAGTGTCCAGAAGGATGAGCTTCTGCTTTTCATGCCACCTCTCTGAGGTATGTATTATATGTTGAGTATGTACAAGATGATACCTTTTGGCCGGGCACAGTGGCTCATGCCTGTAATCCTAGCCCTTTGGGGAGACCAAGACGGGCAGATCACTTGAGGTCAGTGAAACCTCGTCTCTACTAAAATTATAAAAATTATACCGGCGTGGTGGTATCTGCCTGTAATCCCAGCTACTCCCAAGGCTATGGCAGAAGAATTGCTTGAATACACGAGGCGGAGGTTGCAGTGAGCTGAGATCACGCCACTGGACTCCAGTCTAGGTGGCAGAGTAAGACTCGTCAAAAAGCAAAACCAAGATGATACCTTCATTTCTGACTCAATATTCTAGATCCAAAGGACAGGAAATGAGGGAAGGCTTCATCCTGTGGGATCAGGATAAGGAGATCCCATACTTCTTCCCAGGTAAGGAGGCCTGTGGCAGGTCGTGATTCAAAGCTGACTTGGAATGGCAGAAACTGCTAAGAGGCCACCCTTGGAGATTTGTGCCTTCAAAGATGGGTTTCATGAGTCTTACAGAGGAAGGGACTTGTCAGCTGGGTTGATTATTGAACTAGAACTGGTAGACATGAGCTTCTTGGGTGGCAGTGGCCCAGAGCCCCCATCTTTGAGAATCCCCCACTTGAAATGGTTTTCTGAGAGTGCTCACTTGGCAATTGCTGCGTTTCTCCAGCCCCTCTGGCAGGGTCTCGCTTAACCCTTCCCTCCAAGTGCACTTACTTCTTTTGTCCTCATGCACATCTATAGCTTTGAAATTGTTTACCTCTCCTAGAAAAATCTTACCTTTTAGCCAGAGCACAGTGGCGAAGCCGTGTTCACTCAGAGGCAGCAGCTGGCATGTTGAAGGGGAAAGGCCAGGCTGAGCACTCGCCTCGGACCACACCATGTCTGGAGTAGAATTGTGATACATGTCGTCTGTATCTGTTCTGGGAGATTCTTTGTTCCTCTTTGTACTCACATGAGCAGACTTCCTTCCTGTCACTCCAGGTTACTGAGCTGATCCCTCAGATCCTGGGGGCTCCGAGCATGCTCACAAGCCCTTTAGGACACACACTGGAGCCAAACTGTCCAATGTTAGCAGGCTTTATGAAAGGAAATAGAGGGAATTGGTATAGTTGAAACTTGCTTAGATTTGCTTCGGAATCTCAGAGCAGGAGATTTAAATCGTGTCATTAGGTACCATAAACTTTAGTTGGAGAATGGGACTTAAATTTTCATGTATACGTATACTTAATTTTCAGCAATTACAACACAAAAAGAAGATGCAAATTAATTTTTTCAGAAGGTACTGCAGGAGTAGGAATGCTTTAGGGTCATCAACAGTAAACCTCAGGTGTTGTGAGTGGCAAGAAGGCTAGAAGACAGAGATGCTTCTGGTAGATGAGGGTCAGACAAACCAGCTGTCCTCCGTTTTCACAGCAAGTTTTCACTGTCACCACTTGTCCTCCATTGTGTAATGAGAGGAGTTTCTTGAGATCTTGAGAAATCACCTTGGATAGGCCGGTTGTCAGTTAGTATTCAGAAACTGGAAAGGAACCATGAAATGCTCCTCTTAGGGTTCTTTAGGGTATGTGTTTGAAAACCCTCGCATCTCAGATCTATGTAGCTGGTGTGTGTTTGTGTCCATGAGCACACCTGCTCTGCTGGCATGCCCATTAAGAAAGGGAAAATAAAGGAATCGCTCGGATGTTTCCTTGGGTGAACAGCAGCGGCGTGGTTGGTGTGTTGACTGTGAGCAGGCTGACTTAGCTGTTTGTTGCCGCATGCTAGGAACCCCCGTCTCCTCCCGGACCCTGCACCTTTCCCTCCCTGCTGTCTGATTCTCTAATGACTATCAGTGGACAAACGCCAGTTTTATGCTCTCTTAGTAAAAATAAGTTTAAACATTTCATGGTGGTTGACAGAACTTTGTCCTAAAACATGCGGATTCAGATTTAAAACTCATGTAACATTTATGCCAAAGGTCCCGCCCTGCAGGTGTGTGTGTGTGTGTGGTGCACAGAGGGTGAGGTTTGGAGCATCGGGCACTGTGTGCATTGCTAAGGGGACATAGTGAGACAATGCGGGATTTAACTAAAAACACAACAGTCGTGGGTCACACTACCAGTGTTGTCAGGTATTTGTTCTTAGTTGTTACTGTAATATACTTTCGGTTGTTTGTTTTTCTAATTTAATTCTCTCACTCTGTTGTCTGACTGTGAACTGCTAACAGTGTTAAACTTGATGTAAATAAATGAGGCCCTTGAAAGGGACTGCTCTCTGCCTGTCTTCTCACGAGGTTTGCCAAGTTGTGTTTTGTTTGAAATAAAGGTTGCAATATTTTATTGGCAAAGTAGGCTGGAGATTGGAATGTTTCCCGTGATTTTAGCTGACAGGGAATCTGAGCAGCATTTCTTTCTCTCTGTGTAAAACAGACATCTGTAAGGTGAAGGAGCTGATTTTAGCAAGCATCCCTGTGGCACATTCTTTAGAATGTCCTCTGTGGGGGTGAGTACTCGTCCTTCGATGGATTACATTTTTGGAAGTGCAAAAAGGACATCACCTGGAGCCCAGGCTGCCGTTCGTGAGGTGGGTAGTACATTTATTTATATATGCGTCTCCCAACAGGAAGTGACTGTGGAGCGCAATCTGATTCTCATAATCCATTCTGAGGACTACTGCGAGTAAGTTTTAAAAGTGTTTTGA